ACTTAGGACAAGTGAGTAACTGAGGATAAGAAGTCATGATTATAGAGAGAAATGAAAGAGACAAATAATGACAGAGAGACATACTGACAGAAAAAGAAAGGGAGTACAATAACCAGAGGAAGTGGGTGAAACTCTCTTCACTTACACTGACTGAACTGAGAGTGTCCAAACATTAAAAGAATGAACAATCTTCCTTAATATAGAAACTTCAATTATGGAGTAACACCCATTAGACCACACAAGCCTGGCTCACTTTCCTTAGAAGGTCACACAGTCAATGCCACAATGGCCCAAATTAAAAATGCCTGGTTATGGTAGGAGTTGAAAAGAGCAATCATTTGTCTATTATTAAGCTCCAGGCCTGATTGTCTGAGCACGTTTTCCTCGAATCGCTTACAGGTGAAAACTGATGTCGTGCTGACTGGCACGGTCACCACCTGTTTTTGTGAGAAGGTGACCACAGAACATTTACCATGGGTGAAGACCACTTTAACTGCGAGTTAACAAAAGTACTTGTCAACACATAAAACATATTGAAATAAATAAATAAATCTTCAATTCTATAAAAAAGGATCTGTGCTTCTAGTTGCTTACATTAACCTTTGCTGTTAATCAGTCTTCAGAAAGTAACTAAAATTATAAATTGGACTGCAACTTCAAATGCCTTTAAAAGCAGAGAAAGTGGTGAGCAGTGAGTAAACTCAAACAGCCATCGTCAGCAAATATCATTAGGATAGCCATTACACTGTGCCAACAGTGGCCACAGGCATCTTTTCCTTCCGTTTCCCTTTGCAGCCATCAGCATGTCAGGAGCACAACAGATACACTCGCTTATGGACATGGATAGTGGATTTAATCAGCCATAACACAGATGTGTTAAAGGAAGCATTCCGACAGCACTCAAAGTCCCATTATAGAATAGACGTATTTACAGGTATGGTGGACAGATATAAATGATTAAAACAGCTTTTATCAACCTCAGTTTTAATCTCAAACACAGTAACATGCTACAGAGACATAATGACATGGTATTAACATTTAGGAACACACAATTAAAGCAAAGTTAGTTTTTTGATTGTGGATAATATACAAAGAACTCTTAATTCAAGTGTTTTTAAATACTTGAACTCCTGCTTTATCATCTACAAGAACTACCAAGAGTTTTGCATGTTTCCCCTGCATCTTTATAACAAGAAAAGTTTTGTATGAAGTTTACAAACTGAAGAAGTCACTTGGATAAGTGACGAAATGTTTCTGCCACTGAAAACGCTACGTCCAGGTGAACAGGATCAACTTTCTGTGGCTTACAAACACGATGTTATACACAGAGCAGTCAGATGCTGAAGGCATTGAAATACTAGACGGGCCTGTTAAATTATTCACTGCTGTTACCTCTAACAGAACTTGTTGTCATTAAACCTTTTTCTCAATACATCCGTCAGTGCATTGACTTTAATCAAAAAAAACATTCACTGCTATCTGGTACAGAGTACAGAAGCTACAGTTTAGCTAATTCGTGCTGTTTGTGAACACCCAAAAGACCTGTCGGTTCACATTTAAGAACATAATGATCTAAAAGAAATAACATAATTTTATGTCAATGTGGAAAAGATTGCATGGAAATGTGTGGGGGTTTTGCTTTCCCTTCATACAAATGCTGAGACTGCCACGTACATGACTAATGTTTAAGCAGTGCACTTTTAGTTTTTAATCATTTACTAGTGCTTTGTGTTAGGCTTACAAAAATATACACACGGACCAATCACAGCAGAACCATGTCACACTAAAGTAGAAGGACATTACAAATCCCTAAAACAGAGTTTTAAAAACTAAAATGGTCCCCTGATACTGCACTGCGGGGTAGAGAGGAACAGACAAAAACAAAAAACGAATTGTTTTTAAACTGGATAAGTTTTTCCAGCTCCCTGAGGAAGATAAGTGACCAAATTCTAGTCTTACGAAGATTAAACTAGGTCAGATAGAGGGAGAGGTTTCCAGAGCCCTTGAGGCCTAAATATTATATCAACGTCTTAGCAGTGTGGTCCCATTGAGGAGTTCTAATTCTGAAAATGTCATTTTTGTTACTTCTATAAATTTTAAAATTTATATTAAGGTGACTTTTTCAGGAGAATTAAATTGCAGTAACAATCAGTAGCTGCACAGTATAAAGGAACTGCTTTTATCACAACGTGTCAGAGAACAGTACCACATATTGCACTGTAAAATAATCATGAACTAGTCCCTATTGCACTAGTTCAGAGATGGGAACTCGGCTCATTTGCATACTGCAACTGCCTCAGGGTAAGAGAAACTGGCAACACAAAGTCTCCAAAGAGAGGAAAGTCCACACACTTCATTTCACTGCTTTAGATCCCTGCAAAAAACGATATTTTAGTCTTTTAACAGTACTGTTATTAAGCATCTCATACAACAGAAAATACCCATTCCTAATTTAGTGACTCACTAATTTAGTCACCCCATCCCTGTTTCACAGATTCCACACCATTGTTGAGAAATCAAATGTCAGGGTTATATTAGAGTCATTTCTGGTAACTAGCCATTGATCAGATCATGTATCAGCACATTTGGTGTCTGTGACACCTTCCCAACTCTGATTACTCAGGAACACATTGGTCAAGTGAGGTTACTTCCCGTCATGAGCAAATCTCTAGTAAGACATCGATTGGCGTTCCTCCTGGGAAAGGCTCCACCATCATGAGGAATGTGTTTATATAGCAAATTCCAACCCCACCCTTTAAACAACTACAGCTACGGGAGGAAGAAGGTTATTAAGAAGTAAGTTGTTGTGAACTCTCCATCACTCCAGAGAAAGTCAACAGTGTTAATCTTAAAAGAAAAAGGAATTAAAAAGCCACCTGTAATGTTGGATGAGTTTGCTTTGGTTTATTTGGACAAAATAAAGAAAACACGATGGTTATTCAGAAAATTGGCATAATAAGCCAAGACAGTGATTGAAATTATCAAGTCTGCGCATGAATTTTAACTACTCATAATTCCAACGTGACCTCACAGCCACTTCCTGTTGCTCACATACACAACATCACATGCTGCTGATGTAGCAGCACAGTGGGGCCACACCACTTCCTGAACCTAAAAATCAGATCAAGCTTCCTGCGCATATCATACAGACATCTATGCTTTCAGCCCCACACTCTTCCAACAGAAAGATTTTCCTTGAATGTGACCTTTATCTAACCAAAAGTCAGCGAGAAAGACAAAAAAGAAAGGATATAAGGTTTAGAACAGAGATCTCAAGCTAAAAAAAATGAACTTAATTAGCTCTTATTACAGGATTTAAAGCAATAGGGCAAGCACATGGGAAATACACAGCGGCGTCCCCACAGAAACACCCACTGGTGGCGGTAAACGAAGGGAAAGTATCAGCCAGCATGTAATTTATCTAATGCTCACCAAAGCTAAGCTACATTAACTCAAACCTGGTCAGTGGGCATTTACTAAGCAATAAAAACCTTACCTTTTACCTACAACATTTTTAGAATGATAATTATTCATGAACAGAAAATGGCAAGGTGATCTGTATAAAAGGTGCATGCAGATCTAATTCAAGTATTTGTGTCTTTATGGGTGATGGTGGTAGCACTTATAATTTATTTTAGCATTTCATGTGTGTGTTGTTTCTCAGTGAACTACATGTCAGTGCAGTCTGAAAGGTCGATTACTGCAGAGTATTGAGAATGATTAGTGCAACACGGGCAGTGAGAGGGAAACACTTCCTCCATGTTGTACATCTTTTCCCCCCATTTACCACTAAACTGATGTAAAACTGAGTGACGAAGTGATTTGTTATTATTGCATTAAACCATTTTCTTTCTGAATGTATCCAGCATCATACAACATGCAAGAAGGAAATATGACAGCTGAGCTGAGACGTATGTGTGTGTGTGTGGCAAAATAAGAAGAAGCGGAGTGCTCCACTAATCCCAAGCTAAAAAAAAATGCTTATTACACAATTGCACAAAGACTTTAATTAAAAAAAATACAAATAAAACCCTCCACTCTGCTACAATGAAACTACAATGCTTGTAAATGCATGGGCTTCAGAGCCGTCGTAGGAGGTAAACTGCAGATACACGGAGAGAGAAAAAGCTTTTGATCAACTGCGTTGTCAGCTCTAATTCGAGCTGCGATGTTATGCCAGAGGATAAATAATTCGAAAACACAAAATAGATGAGTGAACTACGCACAACTGATAACAGATTTTACATTTATCTCAGTCGCGTCTTAAGATAACACGACTTTCGCTCTGCCAAGTGTCGACCATCACGTTTGCAGCGAAAATGCGGTTAAGTGACTCAAACATATGGCTCCACAGGGCGGACCGGCTCAGTTACTAGGTGGTGCTTCCTAACGTTACCGGCAGCTGGAAGCAGCAGCAGCTGGCTTATCTGTGGACCTAGCTTGCAAGTGTCAGATAAGTTCACTTGCTAACACTGGAAGCTAACGTTAGCTAGCATCTCGGCTGGTTGGTGCGCTCGCCTGACACCTCTATGCACCCCGCCCAACGCACCACACTGCAATGTCAAAACAGCTAAACTCACACTACCTCCGTCTTTTCTAGTTCCCCATCTGACGGTAGCTAGTGCTACTATTTGACTAACTGGCTGGGTTTACCCCGTGTAGCCGAAGCGCATTAATACCGTGTGCGCCATGTCTAAGCTAAGGTCACTGTGCAACTTAATACTTACAGGATGCCAGAGCAGGAGGTACAGACGAAGGAACCCACAGTCATGTTGGCGTAGGTCGGGCCTCGCTGGTCGCAGTCAAAGCACTTTCTGTTGGGAGGCAAACTCGTCATTTCTCTCAGCATCTTCAGGTGTTTCTCCTCCTGTTTTCTCTTCGCACTCGCCGCCATGGTAAAGAATCTATAGCGGGGGTTGAATAAAACCGTGAGAGACGGAAAGCTAGCTAGCTAAAACTAAAAGAGCTGTGCTTTCTTCTTTTTAATGGTTGTCGACTCGTAAAGACAGAGTGAATCGCTAGGTGGGTCTGTTGTCAGGGCGGCTTCGCGTCTCCTCGAACAAGGAGTTTTCAGGCGATGGACCTGGCGCTAGCTAACGGGACAAGAGCTATGCTGCCATCTACTTCCGCCTTCGCTTAAATCCCGTTATGCAGCCACAGCGAGTCTTCATGACTCAAAGCCAAACGTGAGCCCATTAAACTCATCACAGTCAAAGATATCCACTACAGATAGAGGCTATTATTTTTAATCTAATTTTATTTAAGTTGGCATTAACCGTGTCGTATGCGCTGCACGCTGCAGGCATTTTAACGGCATCAACAACACAATTTAAAGATTGTGGCAGGTAGCGGCTATGTGAGTTACTTTATCTTCAGTTCAAATTTTGACGTGTACATAGAAGCAGACAGTACGCTCGATGACTTGTCTGAAGAATTGCAGCGGGCCACAACGCAAACTGAAACAAAGAGCATCATCTTGTTTCTAACGGGACAGCTCTTTGGTTGTGCTCCAGACAGCGCAAAGAGCGCCACTATTCTTTCTTTAACGCAACAGCGCCACTGTGCGGTATTGGTTACTACAAGATTGTAACTAGACCCAATGTTAATCAAGTCATTAAAAATGCACTGCGTCACTATATGAAAAAAAAATTAATGAAATATGTCAAGTATTAAAAGATACGTAAAATTCCTTAAAATTTTCCTGATTATTTGTTTCAGGAAAATGTAGGATTGAAAATTAATATTAGATATTTAAAGATATTTTAAGAAGAATTTGTCACAGGAACATATGCAAATACCCTGATGAAATGTGTGGAGAAATATAAGTGAAAAAGAGTCAGAATGGATGTGTATTTTACACACTTTATTACAACTGAATAACATATTATTACATAATACAAAGTAAACCAAATGGTATTTGTATTATTTACAAGAGTATTTTGTGCAATGGACTTCAGAACCTCTGTTGTAATCTAGGGTGAGCTGACCAGTCTAGTTCACTACTGAAGATGTCATCAGTTACTGGGACAATATTCTGTCTGAGCCAGATCTTACAACATTTTTTCTTAGAAAATCAAGACTTATAGTGCTCTGCTTTGACTGAAGGACCTGACTTTTAAATACCCAACAAGAACCAGTTATGTCAAGTTCAGCACACTCTGCAATCAGTGGGAAGCCTTAAGTCTTCAAATGAGATTCCTGTCCGTCCTTGCCCCCTTTAAATGTTTTTTGCTGCAGCTTTAGAGATGTTAATTAATTGCTGGCTGACTGAATAAAAGGCTGCTGTTGTTGTTGTTGTTGTGGAGAAAAGTCAAAGGGTCTGCGGTTCTCAGTGTAGCCATAAAGTTTCCGGAGGGCCACGCGAGCTGCTTCTTCCTCGGCTGCTGCAAGCGTCTCTCCTGGACCCTGAGCCAGTAGCTTCTTGTCACTGAATTAACAAAGAGGTGATCAGACAAAAATGTAAATTCTTCATAGCATTAATTTTAACCCATCGCATCCGTTTTAAATTTAGAACAGTAACAACGCGCGAACAACAGAACACATACCTGTATAAGCCAACAAAATACAGTGGCAACACTGTGCTGGCTCCAGCAGACCGGATGAGCCGAGGCTCCGGCAGAGGAATTTTCCTCTTAGTAAGCTCTTCCACCAGTAGTCCCATGGGGTTGACAACAGTCCACATATCAAAGAGGTCCTTTCCTATCAGCTGAGTCACCAGAAAATCCTAGGAAGAAGGTGGAGGTAGGATTAAAAGAACAAAATGTCCCACCACTGTACACACAGCAGAGGCAACTGAGCAATGTGGACAAATTATGCTTCCTCTAAGCGAATTATTACGTGCCAATGATTTTGTGCCATAAGCGACCTACCCTGAGAAATAATCCAGTTCGCTCAGCTCCACTGCTTTCCTGCAGAGCTCCGATCACTGCCATGAAAGTAGAACAGAGCACATCATCTGGAACAGGGAATTCTGCACTCATTGTTAGGTCTTCAATGCCCAGATTTTTGGCTACGTAAGTGATGACTGCTGGACTGGTGAGGTGCCCTACAATACTCTCCACCCCGATGGCCGGGAGGCTCGGGAAGCTTGCCCTGCACCAGTCGATCAGGAAGCTTTCAGCGAACGCAGACCCCTTTTTACTCAGCTGCATATTATCTTTTAGAACAAGAGCGGCTGTCTCAGATTCCACACCCAACCCCTTTCTCTTCTCTTGCTCCATCTGCAGGTAACAGGGATTGGTGAAGACTGTTTTCAGGAGCTCAAGAGAGAAATTTTCATGCAGGCGATGGGTGAAAGCTTGAATCTCTGCATGGTAATCCCAGTGAGGCTGCTGGGATCTGAAGAAGAAGAAAAAAGTAAATACCAAACAGAAATAGGAGTGTACAGTGGCTAAAATCATGTCTAAAATCACTAAAAGCGTGTACAGAAAGTCTTAGAAGGCCATGGACAAAGCATACGGTCATTAAAATATGACATTTTTATATATTAAATCAATGATAAAATTAGAAGATTAACCGAGATCACGGGGAGGATCTTGGTTTTCTACCCTTGGGCAAAGAAGCTTCGACAGCTAGCTACGCTTCTGGTGTTATTTGGAAAAACCATGAAACCAGTAACGCCACACGCAGCGCTAAAACATCTGCATTAAACAGTTGCAAAATTGCACTAAAATGCCGTCCATATGCACGCTTCTCAACTGACTATGAAAAAATAAACACATTGAAACATCAAATACACGAATGGCCTTGAGACGCTCTCTAGTGATTTTTGGCGTTACCGTGGCGTCGGAGGTGGAGGTCCTTCCAGCTTCAACTTCTTCGCCATGAGGTACGTGTAAGCTTTCATCCATCGCTTTTTCTCTCTAACCTGTGACAGTGAAATATCCCTGCAGACGCGCTGGCAATGAATTCCTAATGTCAAAGCACCACGATTTAGTAAGTACCCTGACGCCATGTTGGGTCCCTAAACAGCAAGGTGCAACCACTAAAAGTGTCCGACACGGAGCAACAAAGCATATCCGGTAGGCTGGAGCGTAAAGACGGAGCGTTACCATGGAAACAAGCGTAAACGGTAACTAATATTAACGACCGGGGCAGGCTGCTGATTGCTATTTATTCGACTGTACAATTCAGAAACGCCTATAAAACCAATCGTTAAGAAGTATTGTATGTTTCTGATATAAATTTTAACGATATCCACTTCGGAAAATCAAGAAAGGATGGAAGATCAAGTGTTAGTAGCAACTGAAGTCGAAGGTGGGGATGCCCGAGAAAGTTCTGACAGCAGTGGAGCTCAAGAAGACCTTGGGAAAAAAGAGCTGCAAAGTTCACCTCAGGAGAAAAATAAAAAACACTCAGGACCACGGATGACCAAGAAATTCCTGAGAGACCACTGTAAGCAGAACAAACTGTACATAACACCATGCCACAATGATGCGCTGTATCTGCATTTCAAAGGTTTCTCCACCATTGAGAACTTAGAGGAGTACACAGGTCTGAAATGTCTCTGGCTGGAAAGCAATGGGCTCCAACGCATTGAGAATCTGGATGCTCAGACTGATCTGCGCTGCTTGTTCCTTCAGCAAAATCTCATATACAAGCTGGAAAACCTAGAGCCTCTGAAGAAACTCTGCACCCTGAACGTCTCCAACAACTACATACACATCATAGAGAACATCTCCTGCCTTCCTGACCTGAGTACTCTGCAGATTGCCCATAACAAGCTGGAAACTGTTGGTGACATAGAGCATTTGAGTCAGTGTCTGAACATTAGTGTATTAGACCTCTCTCACAACCTGTTACACGACCCTGACGTCCTGCCTGTGCTTGAGGCCATGCCAGAACTGCGTGTACTGAATCTAATGGGAAATCAGGTCGTGAAAAAAATCCCAAACTACAGAAAAAATATGATTGTACGCCTCAAGCAGCTCACGTTTCTTGACGATCGCCCTGTGTTTCCTAAAGACAGGGCATGTGCTGAGTCGTGGGCAGTGGGAGGGCTGGAAGGGGAACGCCAGGAGAGGGAGCAGTGGGATACACGAGAGAGGAAGAAAATTCAGGAAAGCTTGGATGGAATGGCAATGATTCAGAAGAAGGCCCAGGAAAGACGCAGACTCAGAGAGTTACAGGATAAAGGTAATCAGCTTTCAGCTTTTACTACCCTCGTCTGTATACTGAGAGTAAATGTGGATGAATGTTTAATTGTATAATTGTAATATAATTATAATTGTTTCATTTCAGGGAAAACCGATGCTTCCTCTACTCCAGAAACTACTACTGAGGAAAACGGTACCAGGATTTTAACTTCTTCACAAGGTGACAAGATACAAGCTTTTGTGCAGGACAGCCTGGATGCCCACGAAGAGTTCTTAGAGAAACAGTCAAAACAGGGACTTCTTGAAAATCAACCAGCAAGTAAACATCTTGAGACCAAGGAGGCAGGTCAACTCCTGATGAGAGAGCAGTTAGATGAAGATACCCAGGACCATTCTCCGATAACGCACACCATAAGAGAAGAGAAAGGAAGGGAAAAGATCCCAGCAGATGAGCAAGGCAGTACTGTAGGGCACATGTTAGAGACAGAAAATAAACAAGAAAAACAGTCCAAGAGAAATGAAGCAGAGAGAGAGCAGAGTGAAAACAAACAGCCTCCCCTTCCTGAAGACGATGACGATGTACTGGTACATAGTCCTGGACCACGGATTACAGAGCTACAAGATGCAGAGCTGCTGGAAACCATTCACCTTCCTCCAGCAAGTCGCTCATTGCGTATTGATGAGTTGCCTGATTTGGAAGATGTGGACACAGAAGACTTTAACGCAGCGTTCTCTTGTAGGCAGGCCTTTAAACCAAAAATAGAAGTCATATCAGGTGACAGCAACAGGGAAGCACCAGCTGGGATTCAGAGTGACAGCATCTCCACATCCGCTCCAGCTAAGAGCTTTTTGTTCCTAACAAGAGGCTGCGACAAATCACCGGCTGTCTCTGGCAATTCTACATCGCTGGTGTATCCAGAGGATGAGGGTGCGCCTTCCGACCCGTCAAACTCAAAAATAAACCGAACCTCCTCTCAACCACGCTGCCTGATCGAGGAGCTTGAGTAATACCTTGATGTCATTAAATTTGAAATATGAATTAAAATAGTAAACTGCAATTCAATCTGTAGCATATTTGTGATAGCCGTTTTGTCTGTGTGCTTGTCAGCTGTTATACTGTGAAAAGAATAAATTCAGGACTGATTTGGTCAGTATTCTCGGGGGGAATTATACGTTTACTCTTCACATTACAGCAACATTTTATATAATTTTATTTCATTCAGGGTTTTTCCCAGACAACTGTGGTCCTTTGTGGTTTAATACAGTGCAATGGGTAAGACAATGCTAGCTGTTTTGTAACAGATATGTATAATTTTTGGTTACTTCTGACCATCTCAAAAGCAAATGTATCTATTTTGTTTGAGAGAATCCACCCAAATAAATACACTTGTAAATTTTAGGCTTTTTTCCTCGGGAGACATTTAACTCCTCTACAGGAAAAACTATGTTAACGTCTCAATAAAAATACAAGACCACACATGACTGGTACGGTTTTACTAAACTTTATTAAATTTATCAGCCAAGTCACATATTACTCTTAGTATTCAGCATTACCACCATGGAGCTGTATGTCCCCACACTACAGCTCCTTATTTTATTTTTTTTTTTGGGTGAACTATATACTGTGCCTCTGGATGAGGTACGATTGACATGAACAAATATTTACAACAACTTAGCAATGGGCAGCAGAATTTGAGAATAAAAACAAAACACAAGAAAATGGAATAGAAGGAACAAAATAAGAGTACAAAAATAAAACTGTACATGTTTAAATAAACAAAATCAAAATGTTGAGCCTATGTGCAACAGGCCTTGCACGTGCTAACATCTCCTCACACAGGGGTTAAGTGCAGTGAGCAGCTAACTGATAGGATAAAGGATAATACGTTCTTGTCATGTGGATGGCGGAAACACAGGCCGGCTCTAACGTCGCAACCACACCCAAGTGTTGATGAGCCAGAAAGCGACGGTGACGGAGTACAGGATCACCTCTCGCTTTGTTCGCTCTTTGTTCTCTTCCTCCAAATGTTGGAGTCTCCGGTTCAACTTGATGAGCTGTTGCCGAATCAAAAGAAATTGTTTTATCAGTCTGGCCTCTTGCACCACACAAGACGGAATTCATTTATTTATCATGAGCTAACCTGCCGTCGAAGTGTTGTTGCATCGACCACAGTCATGTCATCAGCTGTCCCATCCAGAGAGGGCTCATATGTTGACAGTGCAAGCCTTAAAAAGAAAATGGCTAGTTTGAGAATCACAAAATAACCAAGTCACAGCAGCACACGGCACATTCAAATACGCGGAACAATTTAACAATGGCAATGTAATTTTTATAGATATCTGTGTCCATATATCTGTGTCCTACCACTCAAGGTAGGAAAGGATGAGGACAAGGAGAGAGGAACAAAACGAAGTGCCAGATGAAGTTACCTGGAATCATGCAGGGGGTGGGAGCTGGAAGCCGACCCCCCTCGCAGTGATGATTTGCTAAGGGGTGGGGAAAGACAGAGTTGGGAAAAGGCGAAAGAGATATAGAGAAACCAACAATGTTGCATCCATGCACACAACTTGGATGTCTTTAATGCACCTAGACTTTCTCTAATTTTCTATTCTTTCTAGTCCTTTTAAAAAGTCTTATTTCCCTAAAGTTGTTTTCAGTGTCTTAAAACAAGTAGCAACTATATCACTTTAGTCTTCAAAGGGGACAAAGAATGTGGGTAAGTGCTCTAAAAATACCTTTTTAAGCATACAGAAAATATGAATTTGTGAGCAATATTTAGAAGATCTATTTTCACCTTATTCTTTCCTTAAAAAGCTAAACAATTAAAAGGTCAAACACTTGCAAAACTCCTTGGAAAGTTCAGTAATGAATCCACATGCTCTGCACAGCGTTTAACCCTGGAGTAACTGAAGTGTTGAACCTGAAGGTGAAATAAGTTGTCAGCACTACTTCACTTTCTCTTTAATACACCATCTCTGAAGTTTCAAAGGACGATAAAAACAAATTCCTCAGTGTGAATTATTCCCTTTCTTACAAAGCAAACATTTATGGTGTTTGAGAAGTCAAAGTTAGGGTTGGGCGATTGGACGAATATATCGACTATCGACGATAGACAGCCCATTGGCGATCGTTTTTACAAGGGCAATTTATGTATTTATTCGCCCATGAGTAAGTTTGCTAATAATGATGGAGCTAATAGAAGCAGTCAACAAAAGAATAAATAAATAATAGCGCGGTTTTAACAGCACCCTCTTTCATCTGTGAGCAAATGCACCCTCCTCAGAGTGTGCCCAAATGCTTGTTGATGGAGCTGCAGAAGCTGGTGATAGCCTAGCATACTCAGCCGGATGGTGGACACGTACATGCTCATGCAAGTTAGTTGTGTTTGAGTACTTTGCTTGCTCGGACAGCCCTAATTTTTTTGGAAATTAGTTCGTCCATGTTTGGACTTCTATGATGTAAATGCGGAAATCAGTCCGTGCATGATCATATTGCTCCATCCATCAAAAAGTCTGCGCGTGCGCGAACATATCGCCCATCATTGATTAGTGGACTGACGATGTAAAAGTTTTTACATATCGCCAAACCCTAGTCAAAGTGCAACTCAAACAACTTGATTCAACCACTGGTGGAAGTGGCGGTTCAGAGCTTCAGTTTTTTATTCTTCAACAAGCAAGGAACTTAGAAACCTTTTCTACATTTTCTGGGATTAATACATGTGTTATTAATACTGTTAAAGGTTAAAACTGGTTACAAGATTCTTGAGACTACACAACCTGTACCACATGACCCTCTCCCAATCCAAAACAAATGGTGCTTATGGGCAGAAATGAAAGTACATTTAATGCCATCTATCATGAAAATAGCTGTTGCAATTTTTACGGCCTTTTTAAACCAATACCCATTCGGGCAATTTTTTTTTTCAAAACCTTTAAGCAAAAAAAAAAAAAAAAGACCAGATGATTGGGAGGTCACCTGCGAGGGTTCTCATCCAAGACCTCCAGGACGTGCTGGTAGGCCCGACGTGTAGTGGACTGGATGAAAGATAAGACACCACTAGCGCTGTAGAGGTTGTGTTCTTCAGCCTCGGTGAGAGGGGGGCATGGGTGAGCAATGGCTGGGGGGGAAGGGGTTGCACTGCTCAGTGCCCACCATTAAGAGCAGCAAATTCAGTAGGGAAGGGAAGAAGAGAGAGTACAAGAGAAGGAGGAAGGAAAGGGATAGAAATAAGGAAAGGAAACTGTCCTCCACTGACTGTGCAAAACTAATATCAGAGTGAAAGTGAATAGGCAAAAAGCAGCAGCCAAAGACTGAACCTGCCAACCACACTATGTTCTAACACATCTGGCAAGAAACAGGAATGCAAAAGGAGCTGATTTTATGTTTGATTAAGTGACTATTTTCTAGTTCACCATTCAGGCCAGACAAGGAACCTTGTTAACAGTACCAGTGTTCTGTGTTGCAGAAAGTGATCAGGACATGAAAAGGTGTTTTTTTTTTGTCCGAGAACTGTGTAATATTTTTCTCAAATATTAAGCCTAAAAATTTCTGTCAAAATAATAAAGTTGCCAAGCACTTGTAGTTTACACCAAGCCTTCAAACAAATACATGAAGCTACTAAAGCTTCAAATTTGAATCGCTTTGCATTAAAAGCAGTCTGCTTCACTAGTTCCTGTCAGTGCTTCCCCAGCTATTCCGGTCCTTCTGCGTAGAGGGGATAACTGTTCAAATTTGTAATTTATTTAAACTAATCAATTAATCTTTAAAGATTTCACAATTTGGAAATAATCTACCAATAAAAACATGTTGTTAATGTATTAAAAAGTAGCAAAAAGTTTCTGAATCAACACTGACAGCAGCAAAAGTTCCTGACACAGTGGCTTACAATACAAGAATGAAACCAAAAGAAAGATGCTGCATGCTTTACATGCACAAAGACGTAATAGCTGGTACCCAGTTAATGGACCCATACTCACGCTGAATCGTTGCGCATCAGCTGAGTGTTCTGACGGACAGCCGCATTCTCACTGGCTGAACGCTCCCTCCGTAAACGTCCCTGGGGCCGCAACTACAAGGAATAGCATTGACAACTGATTTTCTGGTTATGAGTTACACTAAGGACATTATCTTAAACACTGGGTGAATTGTACATAGTGTTCTCTGTAATAAAAAAAATTACTGATTTATCACTTACCACTTCCTCACTGTCTGGAGCCACCCGCTGATCGTCTTCCATGAAGTCCAGGGGTCGCTCATTGAGGGTGAGGACTCTGGGTGGAGTTTTAAGTGATAGCATTTCCAGTGGTGTTGACTGGATGAGGTCCAAGTCTCTGGGTCTGGGGAACTGGGAGTCATCACTGCCTCCTGACAAATGAAATGTACTGTGAGACTAACCTATCACTTCTAACACTTTAACAGTATGCTGTACTTTTAATACAAAATTGAATGAATTAAAATCAATTAGTTCACACCTATAGTGGAAAAAAAAGCGAATATCCCGTCTGCCATGCTACCTGTATGCATGTCAGCCCCTTCACATAAAAAGCAGTAAGTAACAGCTAAATTGAGCTTAAAATTTGTGTTGCAGTGGCTTTTGCACTCATTTTTTTTCTTTTGCTTTTGAATGTCAAGCTTTGTTTTCCTTGTGTGAATGCACATCACTGTGCTCTGGTCATAGTTCAACAATGCTGAACTTTGACCACAGCACACCAGTGCTTCCTGAATGGTGTGCATGAACTGTGCTTTACTCAATGCAGGGGGCAAACTGCTCATGTGTAGTGCAACTCAGTGGAAATAATGTGAGCAGTGGTACTGATGTCACATTACGTAAAACGTTCATGTTCATGTGATTCTCTGTGGTGAAGCGAAACACAGAGACACGTGCTGTGGTAGTTCCTGTGTCCCACTTTACACCCCTTTTCATTCTCTTTCTTTATTAAATGTTCATAACTCCTCATGTATGGCTGTGTCAACGGAGACCATTTCTAGAGCTGGGTATGTCTTAAGATATCAAAGATATTGCGGCTAGTGTGATCACATCGCAAGATGGTTTGTAATTGTTACGTTAAAAGTGAAACAGTTGATGTGATCCTGGCAGTGAAACGGCATCTAGGAGCAAAGTCCTGTGGCACTGATAGAAGGAGTTCTATAATCTGCAAAAGACTGTGAGGAACTACCATAATGGTGAGTCACCAGTGATGTGCAGACAGTGTGACATAAAGGACAGAAAACATACAGTATACTAACCAGCAACCACAATTCTCTCTGGGACTTGCATTATAACACTGTGAGGGACCTCCTGCGATCCCAAATTAGGGTCCTCGTGGGCTGTTGGAGCCACTTTGAGCATCTCTGGGATGCGCATCCTTTGGCTTATTCCCTCGGTGTACTCCAGCTCATAGTGGATACGGTTAATTTCAGCTATATCAGCCGTTGGAGAGGGGAATGTTGCTCCGTTCATTTGGCTGTTCATCAACACAGAATTAATTGTTAGTTAAACAGAAAAAAATCCCTAAAGGAAGAGAACATGCTGATACAATAAGCCTTTGAGCTAAAATAGTTTTACTTCAGCCACACACTGAATAGCTATTGTTATGCAGTGTGTGGCTTCAGCTGTTAAACCTAGCCCTAGCTCACAAAACCAGAATATCTCCTCTAGGGACACAGTGATACTTGGTGGTGCTAACAGAGTAGTGGAGAGGGGATTAAAGATGGAACAGGCTTGTGATGTTATCATAAGTTATCACATGATGTATTCAGATTTTTCAGAGTCACGCAAAAGTCGAACATTGACCCCAAAGCAAAAACATTGATTTTAACATTAAAGAACTGCTGGTCTCATTACAGAGTGTTTATTTTAAAGCCCTTAATGCTCACAAGATGACAAGAAATGATTAACTTCAGGTTGCTGTACTAGCATAAAAAATATCTAATACATTACCCATGTAACAACATTCAGAAACTATTATCCACAAACATTTGCGGAAATACTTTGCATTCCAGCAAACAGGTTAGCTTCCGAAAATGAAATTGACAGAAAACACTTTAGCTTAGCGCCATTTCAAGCTAGCACGTTAGCCATATTTCTTACCGTTTAGTCTGTTGCCACGGGCCGCTGTTTCGTCGAAGAACTTATTCAGAAATTTTTTGACGGAACAAACCTGAAGTCGGAAATGTAAAGCTCAGTTTCAAGTATTTTAGGTATTACAGGTGAATTAGCTGTTAAGCATCTCTATGTTGTGAGAGAGGACCTTCCCCTCTTCCTGCTTCTTCCTCTGTCTGCACGCTAAACAGGAAGTGGCGTAATTCTGGGGAAGTTATGTCATTAGTACCAAGCGCTGAAATTAAAAGCAGAGAAAAAACTGGACATATGTGCAAACAGTACAGCCTAAAATAATATAATTTGTCTAACTTGTTAGTTTATTGTAGCTTACCATTAAATAGCCTGTATTTAAATATTCTACATGCTTTCAGAAATGACTTTAAGTCACCATAGTAGGTGTTTTATCTATTTATTTATTTTATTGTGGCTTATTTAATTTGGCAAAGAATTCATCCATCCATCCATCCATTCGCTTCCGCTTATCCTTTTCAGGGTCGCGGGGGGCGCTGGAGCCATCTCAGCTGTCATGACTTTACGAAACGCAATAACATAATTTATCTGCACTGAATGTTTATTGATCTGCTTTATTGTATTCAGTAAAGCTTAATATATATATAAAACTGTTGAAAGTAGTTTACTTTTATTTTATATGCACATCGAACCATTTAAAAAAAATCAGAATAATTTAGGAGCATTTGTCGATATAGCCTTTTGATGAAACTACATATTTTGTCTTATAAGCAAAGCTGGCTGTATTACTAATGAGTGCACATGACAGTGTTGCCGGAGGTTTGGAGAGATGGCCCCACAGTCACTGTGGGTGGTGCCTTTCTTCGGAGCCATTCAAAGGCAGCATTTGACATGAGACAGTTGCCCCTCTGCGTAACAAGCAAACGGGATATCAGGGATACCATTGCAGGATAAACAAAAGTCGTGAGTCATGTTTAAAGGAGGACTTTCATAAATGTCAGGATGCTCTTAATTTAACAGGCACAGAGCCTGCACCGATTGAGTACTTTTGACCGTGGTTGTAACTGGCTGAAATTATGTTCCCACATATTTTTATTTTGTGCGTAATATTATTTGGCACTATGCATATCGCGTCATCTTTGGAGCTGCAGCTTGGCATGTAAGTAACGTGTTTTGGGTTTGTTTTGGGGTTTTTTTTTTGGTTTAACATCGTTTCCACTGCTTTCCGTTTGCACTGTGAGCACACACTTGAATATATGATCAGGTGAAAGAGAAAGATTTGGGGCTTTTAAATATGACAGAAGCAGCGTGCGTTAGATTGGATTTTTAAAACAGAGATTCTGAGTTTAAACTCTGTTGAACTTTTGATTTCACCATTTATAATTCTCACTTCTCTCCACTCTATGTTTTTCTGCTCAATGACCACTAGGAGTCTCTCTTTCGGGTCCCCTCGTGCATGTGTGTCCACTGTTTTTGTAGCGCGGATGTAATGTGCATCTGCATAATAACTTCCAAAGGAATGTGCTTTTCCTTGGACTGTACTTGAGGGTTTTGAATTTAAATAGACTGTGGAGGACATGATTGATTCTTTCATTACCAGAGAAGAAGAATATTTCCTCTAATTAACTTCAGGTTGCCCTATACTGAAGCCAGATGGTTTGAGGAGGAGGACACCTATGGATAGTTTACCTGCACTCACAACATAAACAGATGCAGGCTCCTTAAATAGAAGCTTACAAAGTTTAAGATTTGAGGCTTTTTTTTTTTACACTTTATTTTGTAGATTTACATTGTAACAATTAAAATGTGGTTGTTTATCTAGTGATAAAAGCAGTAGATGTGATAATGTGTAATACTAAAACAAATGAACATGTAGAACATGTATATATAACTGTTGTCTACCCCTCAACACAGTCACCTACCAACACATAGACAGAAAAATACAAATAAAGCACTATTTACTGAAAGTCATCAGAAAAACAGATTTTTTTCCCCCAAGTTTTTGCCATTTTGTTATATAAACTATGTGTTTTTCATGCCCAGGCCAAATGTTTGTGCTGACCAGGAAATGTCCATGGTAGGGAGCCGTCAACCTTGCGTCCAGGCTTTTACCCGCATGGTGAAGGTGTGGAAGCAGGGATGCACAAGCCACAAATGGTGTATGGGTGTTGAGAGGAGGTAAATGTATACTTTTAAAATTTGGTTTGCCACTGGCGATCTCTCCGATAATTGCTGGGGATGACTTCTGTTCACGTGATCTGGGGCTGATAGTTGTAATGTTCATTCTTCTGATTAACAGAAACAGTGACTAATTAGTATTACTACAGTTATTTTTGACTGTTTTATACCTTACACTTATTGCTCTTTTATGCTTTTGTATGCATTTATTTTGCTTTTGTGTTTTAATGCCATCTAACCTGCTAGCATGTTTTGGTACCTTGCCATAGCCCTCATCCTTCCCTCTTACTTCATCTTACCCTCTTACATGTTAAGCACTTTGGTACACCATGGTTTTTAAATGTGCTATATAAATAAAGTTTGTTGTTGTTGTTGTTATTAAACCAATTGGCTTTTGCATCTACAAAAATTGTTTAATGATGTGTTAAAAATCTTTTATACACTCAACATTACCTTCACAGGTAATACCTTATAATGTAATGACCTTAAAATTGTGAAATTTCCCCTCCTCAGGACAGCGTACTACACAGTTTACAGGCAAGTGTACAGAGTGGATTTGCACACAGTCTACAGGTGCTGCCCTGGTTGGATTCAGAAGGGTGAAGAGAGAGGTTGTCTGCACAGTGAGTAATTGCATTTCATCAGCATGTATCAGATGGAGCTACTTTCAATACTGCTGTGAAGTTGCACTTGAAACAATAACTGAACCCGGAAACAGCCTGTTGTCAAAACCAGCAATGGGCAATTAATTTTCCCAAGAAGCCACATGAGAAACTAGGACTGTTGTGCAGTGCTGCACCAATAAGCTGAACTCAACAGTCTCTGTTTCTCATGTGGCCCCATCGGAAAATTAATTGCCCACTGCTGGTCAAGACTGTATATGCAGAAGTGCACACATAACTTGGATATATCAGCAGCGTTATGCTATGTGCTACCTTCAGGGGTTTGCAGTGCCAATATGTGCTTCAATGGAGGGAGATGTGCTGAGACTGGAGACCAAATATGTCATTGTCCACTGGGCTTCAAAGGCACGCGATGTCAATATGGTGAGTATTCAGCTTCCCAGAAGATGAAAACTAAAGATTTTGCCAATTTATTCAATTGAAAATAAGTCACTGAAGTATGCAGGTAATTCAAAATAGCCAAATATATGTTTGGGAGCCGGCAAACACACTTATGTATATTCAGGGTCCAGTTCAGGCCTTATGTGTTCACTCTGCTAAAGCAGAATGAGCCTGTCTTGTAGCTGTGATTGGACGGGGCTGCTCTGTGGGGGCTTTGGCTAGTTAAAGGTGGAAAAAGTGGGTTTTTGTTTGGGAGAAATGTTTTTTCTTTGAAGGCAAGAGCCTGGAGTGCTGTGGCTAACCCAGCTGAGCTTCCTCTCTATAAAAACTGCTCATTAATGAGACTGTCTTCAGTCCTTATTTTATATGACAGAAAAACTAAAACAAAAAATCTTCAGAAATAGAAATTTGGTTTCACCTACCAATATTTCCCCCTGGTTGAACACTTCCTTAATGCATTGAATTAATTGATTTGTTTGTTGAGTATTCTTTAAGGTTTGATAGTTTGGAAATAGGGATATTTCCAGTTTAGAAGCCAATGTGAACTCCCATGTCACTCAGTTATCAGCGTGCTTCTTGCACGGTATAACATAAGGCAGCCAGTTGATGGTTAGCATATACTTACATGTGCAACCAGTTTCCTGTACAAGGTCTCTTTCAGCTGAACAGCTGTTTGCCAGATCACTGCTCAGAGAAAGGACAGTGAACATTTGACAGGGACCAACCTTTCACTCCCTTCCAGTCTTTGTACTAAGCAAACCAGATATTTGCTGCAACCTTTAAATTACTGCGGAGATACAAAGGCAGCACGTGTGCTCTTAGCGATAACCTACCAGAAGGTGAATAAGTGTATTTGCTAAAATGTGGCTTCCTTTAAAATGCATCTAAGCAGTATCTATTACTTAAATTGCATTTAAATAAGCCAAAACAAGTTAGAAATAATAATTGTTGGAGATAAGGACTTCTACACAAATAAATAAACTGGACATAATCAAAACCTCTAAAATCTCAGCCTTTCAGTTCTTAATGAACTGCAACTGAGCAACCTGGCATCTGTCACAAATAAATAGCGAACATCTGAAGTAAAGCAGAGTTAAACCCTTATTATTCTTCTTGTCTCTTGTTGCCATCATTGTCTATTCTTTCCGCTCATTGCAGTCTAAGTAACTCTAGTTTTTGTGTGCTTGTTGCTGTTTTGGAGGAGTCCTGCAAAGAGAGAATGGTGAGCGGAAGATATTTGGTTTCTAGCCCCCCACATGCTCACAGAAACGCAAACATGCAGGCAGACACACACATAAGCTTTGCTGTTAGATTTCCCAGGAGAAGGGGCCTGCCAGAGGTGTAACACAGTCCTTCCTCTTGCTAAGATGTTTTCACACAAGCCTGTTGTTGTTTGTTAGAGGCAGCGCTTGCGTTTGTTTTCACGCGGGTTCTTTGGTTTTCACACATCTAAGTGATGGATTGGAAACAGAGATGTTATAATCAGGACTTTCATCCTCTCTCTTTCACGTCCTCTTTGGGAACGCACGTCTTGCTCTTCTCTTTCTTGAAAACACTTTTCCTTCTCTCGTCTCGTGAGACAGAATTATCCACAGTCTTCTGCCAGAAACATTATGCGCCGAGAGAGTCAGCCAAGCTTCTGTGTTCAGCCAGGTTCCTTCCCTCGCAACCTTTGCCTGATGCGGCATCAAAGACACGCACTAGTCATTCTGATTTGTGTGGGTTTAAGCAAATTACTATCGTTATTAACCTGCCTTCTTTATTAGATTTGTATTGTGAGATTTCACATTTCAAAATGACACTTTTTTTCTTTCCCGTGTGAGATTCGAGTATGATTTAGAACAAACAGGAACAGTTAAGAAGAAGGAATGCTGACCTCTGTCGTTTTACCTCAGAGTCATAAGTCAAAGGTAGCTGTCGTGCGCTTTGGTCGTGAAGATGTTTCGCAAGACTTTGGTAGACTTATAGTCCATCCCTCGTGTCTGAATCCTTTGCCATGTGCATTTAATCCTGCTGCATGTAATGTTTCTGGTGTTTGTCAGTTTATACACTGACCAGTCTTTCAGTATCTATATTATGTTCTGCACCTGCACTGGAGGCCGACGTACTGCATGAGAACAGCTGCTTTGTCAGATAGATAAATCTCAGTTTAAAAAAAAAAAAAAAGTACTCACAAGAATTAGTTCAACTTCTCTGCTTTCTTTTCACTCAGAATTAGTGTTGTGTTATTTTTTTTAAGTCAATAGTGCTTGTTGATTAAATTAGGGCTTCACCTGTCATTGGACAAATTACAACGTTGCAGCATAGCAGCAACTTTAACCCACATTTTGGCAACTTTACCCCCTTGGTGTTTTTACACTACAACTCTCATTAGATTGTTTCGAGCTTCAAAAACCAGCACGAACTGGGTTTTGATGTAACAGAAAAGAAGAAAGGATTATCAGTATTTACAAAGAACCACAGTGAATACTTCAGATTGTGTGTTGGAGCTGGGCACTCTGAAACTTTTGTGATGGATCCTGTTGCTTATATATTAATAGGGGTTCTTCTCTTGAGGTGCAAAATACATTAAGGAGAATATTTAAATCAAGCACATAAACTGATTCGCTAATGTCTGTGACACACAATTTACTTGTCTTCATTTTTGAGCTTTATATTGAAATTAACTGATTCCACTTAAGTTCAGAAAACGTTTTCAGATGTAAATCTAACCACATGTATGAGCGCTATTTGGGGATTGCACTCACTGCTCTTTTGCCCCATTTAGTAAATCTGGGCCTTAAAGACTAACTTGAGGGGAGTTGGTACTACAGGAAAGGAAGGAAAGCGTGAATGTGAGTGAATTTTACACTCCCAGAAAAATAAATAGAAGACTTTTCTGTGATTTCAAACTAAAAAGGTAATCATATTTCAGTATTTTGTTTACAGTTGCTAAAAAAGGTGATTGGCGAATTAAAGAACGTGTTTTTTTAGAGTGAAAATTGCAATTCATTAAATGACAATGAGTTTATTTTTTTAATTACAAGCCTGACTTTCTCGTAGCAAACGACTTCCTGCCACTATTCATCCTGTCACTATTTCTTAAGGTATATAACAAAGTGCGTTGTGAGGACAAAGGATATGTCAGCCTTGCCTTTTCACCACAGCAGATTTAGACTTCAAAAGAGGCAAAATGTACACTGAGAAAAAGCCGAACATTCTGACTCTGGTTTTAGTTCAAATTACAATCCAGGCACTGCTCCCCCTCGCCTCTTTTCAGCACTCATCACTGACTGACTTTCTTGAACTGTTACTTTCTTTGGTGCTCTGGCCAAGTCGTGGTGGTAGAACCCACTGTGTGTTGTGCGGGCCAGCTGACCACCTGCTTCTCATTTCTGATGTGAGACAGTAGGCATCATCCAAGGAAATCTATGTCAGCCACTGACACCAAGGCCGGGGTGTTGACACTGGGAGGTCATAAACAGCCTGTATGTTGCCCGAAGCATGTGTTGAGACTCTGGAGCCGGCTCTGTAATAGTTCTATTTATCCCTACTTGTGAATGCCACTCTGTCTCACTCTGTTAAGCCTTGGATTAGGCTTTGGTTTGGTTAGATTGGTGCATGTGTCTGTATAAAATTAAGAGACCATGGGCACATAACAGCGTGAGGACAGAAACCATCTGGTCCTCACTAAAGAAGCCTTGGCTGCTTTCAGTGCACTTTTGGAACAGTTGTTATGAACGGTGCTTAAGACTAGATCTTGTTGTAGTGGGTGTTTTTAACGAGACAGCGATCAAAATCAATAGAAATTACAACTTTCTTGCAAAAAGTTAATTGATATAAGTTGTGATATTATGGGTAGCAACATCCAAACAAACTTTATTGGGAATGTATGGTAGAACAAAGATTTTTCTAACACAAGCAAAGTCACCAGGCGGTGTGTCAATTAAACTAAGTATATGTAGCAACTGGTGGACTGGACAGTTTTATTTCCAGACTTTAAATCTGAGGAACTCTGTTGACAGCCTCGGGGGAATTGCAGTTTCAGTGTAAATCACATTTTCTCTCATGGAATCTTCTTTCTTCATTTGAACTTGAATGTTTGATTCTGCGGACCTTGAGTTGTCTATTATCGGATCACATCTCACCCCAGTCACTGAGCTCCTGTCTGGACGGGATTTCTGTCAGATTAAACACACCAATCTTTATCTGTGTCAGTGTTTGAACACTTGTGTACATATTTTTACAAAGGTGTGAATTAGATTGGGCTTGATTGTATGACATAAAGCTGAATGGATGATGGAGATGGAGTTGCAGGAACACGTCTGCAGTCTTTAGTGTGGTAGATTACACTAAGTCGTCTATGAAAGTTTTCTTCTGTGATTGCCGAATGAAAAGGCTTCAATACAACTGAAGTTCTCTATGACTGTATTAAAGTTTTTCGATGAGCTACTGAAATGGGAAACAGCTATAGCTATAGAGGGAGTGGCTTTTCCTGCAGAGTTGTTAGGATGACTGCAATAAATAAAACAGTGGGAGACGGTGACTCAGTTACCACCAGGTCTCTTCTGTTGTGTATTTACTTTTGGTACAGGAAGCAGAGACTCTGTTTATTTTATTTGTGCATTTGACTATGTAAAACAGATTATAAACAGTCTGGCATAAATGGATGCAGTTTTGTTTGGATGTTGAAATTTTCTTTTAAGTCTTGGATTTTGTTGACTGTGTTTGTGCATTTTGATTTGTTTTACAGTATTTCAACAGTGAAATGTGTCCTAGAGAATCGGAAGTTATTTTTGTTTGTGTTGCAGCAGGTTTATATGTGCATGTGTTTGGATTTTCATGGTTCTCCTACCTAAATGTTCTCACACCTAAATGTTATTTTTGTCATTAATGTGTTTGAACAGGACTGGCTCTAGAGCCCCAGTTTTTAAGACCAATATGGAAACCACTAGAAAAATATTAAGAGGTAAAACAATGTAGACTGAAAGCAACACAGCAGT